CTGTATCAAGATATTTTTCAACTGTAGAACGTTCAATGTACCACGGTTTTTCCTCAAACCAATGTCTAAGGATAAACAGATATATCGCGTAAGCATAATTAATTACTCAATGTTATATAATCACATCCATCACATTTACTTACTCATATGGATTGACATTTTCTTTGTTGAGAAGAACCTGGAATTGTTTCCTGCCTAGTACATATATCCAATTTGCGGACAACACGATAACGGCCAATGCACAAAAGGTGTTGAACAAAGAAACTTGAGAGGTAAAGACAACAAGTAATAGACCCAACCCTAGAGCTGCTCCTGAATACGTTGGATCTTCCCAATAAACATAACTTTTCGCTGTTTTATTATCATTATTTTTATTATTAAAAATTTTGTCATGATGCATAATATTTCAAGATCTGATGGATGCGATTGAACATGATAAAAGTTTACCTCGGGGGACAACAAGTCCAAATGGATCTAAATATCACGTAACGAGATAAAAAATCAGCAATTTTTCTTATATCACACTGCAGAATTAATAAAAAAAATTAGGATCGCATACTGTTAACTTCCTTTCTTCTTTTTGACGAGGCCTTGGTTTCTTCACTCTTTTCTTGCGGTTCCTTGGGTGTATGCTTTTTTTTAAGTTCGTTATTCTCAGAAGAAGCTTGTTGCGGAGGGGGAAGTAGTAACGGGCTATCAGCACCAACTGGTGAATCTGACGTTGTTTTTTCTACTTTTTCTTCTCTTTCTTGTCTTTCTTGAAAGTCTACGTCCGACATGGCTATAATTATATCAATATATTTTTTTTTTTCAATATGATTTTAAAGATATTTTGATTTTCTTCAAAGTTTTAATGTATTTTCAAATTTTTTTTTAATGCGAGAAAAACAGTTTGGAGGTGGCAATATATATTATTTTTTTTCATATAATTTTTTTTATTGGATTTCGTTTTTTCCCAGACAAAATAACGCCAAATATGAAAACTTACTTTTGAAGTGTAACTCGTGCCTAATTGAAAAGTGAAGGAATGAAAAAAATGCCTTGAAATACCTATACGAGGATTTATTGAGAAAATTTCGGACTAAAGAGGAAATATTAGTAACTATTATGATCAACTCCTTGATGGCATAATGAAGAGATATACTCTTACTTAATAAAGTAACTTATGTCATTATATTGTACGTCTTTCAGGTGCAGTAATAATGATGTAAATAAGCTTTAAAAACTTTTTCAACTAATGATATGACGCGCACCTCACCCTCCGCTGAGGAAGATAAATGATGATAAGCAAAAAGAATAATCACAAATCTCCACGCATTGTCTGAAAAATTAAAAGCGTTGTTTAATCTTGATTTGACCGCAATTTTCACCCTTCGTCCAAAAAAAAAAAATTGCGGTGTGTCGAAATGGACCCTGTATATCTTCACATGCTCTATGTTGCTCAAATTTTGATCTGGCACAAAGAATTTCTCCTATCAGGAAAAATTGTCGTTTGAGATAGAGGGACGTGGCATATGAGAATTTGGTAAAAAAACAAACCGAACAGGAATTGAGGCAGAAAAACTGCATGCAGCACAAGGAGAAAAAAGAACATTGAACAATTTCTCTTTATCATATGTCAAACGAACAAGACAAAGCCACTTCTTAATAACGATTCTTCGTTTCGGTGAAACTTCAGAATTACGTGTGGTAACCGAGTCCTCCGATCGAAAATGAACGACGGATATCGTCATTCCTTTATTCTCGATCGGCATTATTTCTTGCAATAAACGATAAACAAAGAAAAACTGGTTGTTGGGCAATTGTTATACGACCAAAAGTGGTTTTTCTGCTTGATCACACGATGACACGTTAACTCAAACCGTTAATTAATTAATAATAGTTATAGTTACAATTCACGAGTATGGTCCGGTGTTAGAATGGGACTTTTTATTAATATCAATATATCAATAAATTATTGTTAAAATAAGCAATATATAACATATAAACACTATATATAAGTCAGATTGATCGATAAGTTAATATTTAACTGGTTTTATCTATTACGTAATCGACATTCGATGTCGATAACAAAATTACGGTCTCTCACGGGCCGTTCCAGCTCAAAATGTATCTCGCGACTTTACTCAAATGGAGTCTACGAACGTAATTTCAGTGATAATGTAGATATATTCTTACTGTCGTTTTCCCTCCTAGATCTGGTAATAACCAATGCATGTAATAAAAACAATATACCAATAAAGAAGTTTCAATGCTATGTTTCGAAGTTGACAGATCCATGGGCGAACCTTGCCTTTGAAGAGTGGTAAAATTTCAAATGTCTCGTATTTCTCTCCTCTAAAAAATTATTCAAAAAAAAAAAAAAGGTCCACCCTTTTTCTTATTTTTTCGCATTTTTGTTTGGAATCAAGTGAAGGTTATTTAGAGATACGAACATAGCAAATACTATATTATATTTGTGGCGGAACACTTCATGTGTAGTAATTGGGAGAAACCAGGTATTTGTAGGATATAATTTTGACATCAAACTCTGTTATCATTGACATAATGTGATCGATAATCTAGAATCCATGGAAAGAATGTAACGTGCATCTTCTCAGGGAACACCAGATCCCCATTATAAGAAGAAAAAGTGGTGGTGGATCTGTTTTCCATGTAAGCTTTTACCATTATATCTCTAAATTTTGAACAGTTCGCAAACTAAGCATGTAAATCCTTTAACGAAAGGATATCGGTAATACGAACTATACCTTAATAACGCCACGAAAAAATTTTACTCGCGCGTATGCCGCGGAATTAGTAGCGAATGCCGTAAAAACGAGACTTGATATACCTGCCTATGTCAACGAGCGTCATGACATTATGATTGATAGCTTTAAAATATCCATTTTCTTGAACTGGCATTGTAACGCCGAATATAGTACATTAGACAGATATATGTACTTAAATTATTCCTTGATCAAGTATACGTCTCTGGGTCAGCATTTAAATTGATCGCAGCAAGAGCTTACCATCATGGTACAATGCTCATTGACACGGATTTGAATCAAATTGGACGGTACTTGAGAGTTGGGAAAGTAGGCATCTGAACTTGTACTGCATTATTATATTATTATTCTTCTTCTGGAGAATTGACGCATTTTTTTTTTAAAAAAAAAATGCATTCAGAAAAATTTAATTACTAAAGGTGTCCAGTCAGTTCCATCACCAGTAACAAATCTTCGAAAATATTCTTCGACAGTGAATCATCATTCATTTTGTAAATCTGTTTTGGAAGAATTTAGAGAACGTTGTTGTGACCATTTAAATGATATGCAGGTAGGCTTGATTTGATAATATTTAATAAATACTAGGAATGCACTTATTTATCACATTTTACCATTCCAGCCCGTATATGTCGACGAAAGTATGATCTCTGAAATCCCAAAAATAGTTGAATATCTCGAGGAACTCAAGGTAATATTTTTTTTGTCCCTTCAATTTATCTGTTTTTTTATTTGAATTTCATCTCATTCATTGAAATCTAAAATACTCACTAATTCAGTCGTGGGATTGGACGTTTGGTCAAACCCCAGAGTTCACACACGAGTTCGAAGAGAGTTTCACATGGGGTCATATGGTAATTTAAGACATGTTTCTTTAATTTATAAACTTTCATAACGTGCATTGACGAATCGTCGTGCGCAGAAAGCGTTCATCAAATCTAGAGATGGAATCATAACCGCGGTTACGTTAACTCCTTCAAATATTGAATACGAAAACTTATCGGCTATACTCGAAGACTCTTTGGAGGGTACGTTGTTTGCTTTTTTTCGCTTAGACTTATCGATTTTTTAAATTTTTGTACAAACAATTAGGTAGCAAGTATGACAACGAAGGAATAACTCAAGCAGTGTCCAAATCTCTAGTTGATGTTCAGTTATCAAATACTAGTTCTATTGGTGTCATCACTCCGTCGACCTCCTCATCGATCCGTAATCCTCATGAAATACTCATGGATATTGGAAATTGGATTGTAAAGTCCTTATGATTTGGTAAGTTTAGTTAAAAATTTCTAGTTAACATTTCTGTCTAAATTTTATAATTTTCACGATGATGTTCAAAAGTAACATGTTAGACTTCTGAAGTTTTAACAATTGAAGACAATTCTTTAACTGAGTAACTTATGCAGTCGCTTTTGCTGCTTGTAGATTTTATTCACATAATTTTACTAACAAGGTTCTCTCTACAATTTCATTGATTAGATTCAAGATTGCAAGTTATCGCATCTACTGCAAACACAATGTTTCTTTAAAGATCATGCTATCTACTTGAATTTTTTTGTTTTATTGTCCTTACTTTTCTCTTTCTTGATAGGAGCAGTGGTTATAAGTTGTTTAATCTGAGTTGGATAGTAGTTGGTGTACATTTTTGGTTCTGTTGACCTATTAAATCCTTGTTCTTTA